TCTGCAGCTGTCAGACCCCATTGTTCAGCTTTATATTGTGTTGGGGGTTTGATGTCTCAGCCATTGCAGAGCTTTGGAGTTGGAAAGAGGCCACTACCTCCTCTCCCAGGCAGGTTGGTGTCTCTTTTCACAGCTCTGGTCAGCCAGGCACCCCTAACTCCTCGCTCTCCCCCACTCTCCCTTTGCACTGCTCATGTCACCAGTTTCCTTCAGGTCTTGCTCCAACAGGAATTTCCATTTTATGTGCTTGCCTTTGTTAACTTTACTCACTGCAAGCCATCATGGAGTGTGCTTGTTCCTCCATGCAGTTGCAGCAGAAGCTGCTGTGTGCCCCCCTAGGCTTTGGCATCTTCTTTTTCTCTGCTAATAAGAGCAGAAGGTGCCCCAGTTTCCCCCCAGAGGACAGGGGGTGGTGGTGCAGTGACTGGAACACAAGAATCTCAGAAAGGACCACTGGAACTCATCTAGTCCACCCTCCCTGCTCAAGCAGGACCCCCTAGACCACATTTCCCAGGGCTGTGTCCAGGAGGCTTTGGGTATTTCCAGCACTGTTCCAGTTCTCAGCCACCCTCCCAGTACAGAAGTTCTTCCTCCTGCACAGAAGTGGGTGCTCAGAAAAGCAGAAGCACAGCCATCCCCCTGCACAGTGTGTGTGTTCCAAACATGGTTCTGGAGGAGTGCACAGCTCAGGTGATCCTCGTGTACAGCTGATGTGCTGGGGAAATGCATTTCCCTCTTTACATCCACCAGTAGCAGGAACTAGCCCAAGGACACCAGCCTCGATAAAAGGCTGCTGACTAAAACACACAGCACGTGCATTTTTCCATGTGTGAGACTCTAATGACTGCTGCAGAAGTCAAAGACTGCATGACTTGGATCAGGTGCTGGCGTTTCTGCCTTGCCCACGCCTGCAAATCCCATCACTCGCCTTCCTGGGAAAGGCAGGAGTGTCCCCAGCAGCCTGGGAACCTGGAGGGAGCTGATGAGAACTGGTAGCACTGGGGTGGGGACAGATGGGTTTATGGGGGACTGTGGAGGTCAGAGGGCTGTTTGCTTTCTCATCATCCCTTCCCACCTGTACCCAAGGAAGGATTTCACATGGGTCCAGCCTGTCCCAGCCCAGCCCTTTCCTTCGTGTTTTGGGGGTCATTTGTCCTGGGCAGGTGCCTCACTTGTGCTCCAAACACATTAATCAGGATACAGCTCTAGGTAGATCCAGGTATCTGTCTGTGTGTCAGGACAGACAATCAGATCCCTTCCAGGGTCCAGGTGTGGCAGAAGCACAGCTGCTTCCCTCCTGTTGCAGCAGCTTCCCCATGGATCCCTGGAGCTTGCAGCCCTTGCTTCTTCATGCCTTTGCATCTCCATGTGTTCCTGCTCATGATTAGCATTCAGCACAGCCCTCAGGCACTACCTTCAACCCATCCCTGCTCTGCAGAACGCGGTTCCTCGTTCCTGATGTGGTTCCTAAATTGCACTGGCAAAGCCCAGAATCCTGGATGAGGCTGTCCCAGCAGGAGAGCCCTGTGGTTCCCCCCTCCCTGGGGCTTACCCAGGCCTGTGTGTGTGCTGCAATCTGCATGGAGGTTTATGTTCAAGGTATTCTCTAATCACTCCCCATAAACACAGGCCTGAAAGGAAGCCGAGTGGTTTCACATTATTGACTCACTTCCATCCCCCCCCATCCTGCTGCTGGGCAGGGACCTGTTTAAGCTTCTTTGTTTAATGCTGAGTTCTGCTGCTCTGAGATAAACTCTACTTGCCAAAAGCTTCATTTCTAGTTTCCAAGAGTTCAAAGTAAAGTTATTAATTAATACACTGACGCAATGAGGATTTGGGAGAGAAAGGAGAGCTCAGCCAACCACAGTCCTGGGGTGCACACCAATACATTGAAATATTGGGGAGCTTGTTTTCTCCCTAAAACAGCGTTTGCTGGGGTTCAGGTTTATAAAAGGAGTATTTCAGCCAGCTGCTCTATCCAAGATAGGGAGATTGGAGCCCCAAGATCCACTTTGCTGAGTCTGAAAGAGGTTTCTTACTGATTTTAGGAATCTCAGGGTCTGGATCTTAAGGCCTGAAGAGCTTTGCTAAAGAAGGTATCTTCTGTGTGATTTCAGAGACAAATTCTATGCTCTGCCATGTCTCTGTGAGTCTTTTTATTTACTTTAAAGTAGGCTTTTCCTTAGGGGTACACAGATTACCAAACAGTGTGACTAAGTCCTTTCCCCCCTTTCCAATCTGACGTCAGCTGTGGAGAAAGAAGAACCTGCCTAAAAAGAAATCCCCAGAGACATCTCCAATCCCCACCAGTTTTGTTGTTAAAGGGGATATTTTGCTGTGGTTTGTTTGGTTTGTTTTATGAATTAAGTTTGTGAATTCATGAGATTAAAAGCTTAAACGGGATCAATGACGACTACACAGCAGGCATCAAAGTAATTGCAGATTGTTTTTCGAACTCCAGAGGGCTGCTGGTATTGAAGTACTGAGGGTTTAGAGCAATAATTATGGATTTTTCAAATAGAGAGATGAAAGGAAATAAATTATCAGTACAAGGGGCCGAACCAAGCTGTTTGTCCCTTTGGGCTGACGAGGAGCTCTCTTGGAGGGAGGGTACACCATGTCCTGACTGAGGCAGCAACCTGAGCCACACAGCAGTTTGACAAAAAATCCTTTGCTGCCTGTGTGCAGGATGTTAACTGTGTGGAAAAGTAATAAAGCAGCATAAACCTTAGAGAGAAACCCAGGAGCTTCCAACGCTGCCCTCCATCCTTTCCTTTTTACCTCTGAGCGAGGCTGCATGGAAAACGTATTAAAGTCGTGAGTTTTGTTCGGCTTCAACTTCAAGATGGCAACAGATGATATGAACTTTGCCGGCTTTTGATTAAAATTATGCTCCTCTGATCCATAAGCGCAAAGCTTGTAATACTCATCTCCCAAATCCTTGATTTCTGATGTTCACTGTCCCCATAAATTATCAAGTACAGCCAATAGAAAGCAGCTATTTTCCATCTACTAGAAGTTAGGCAGATTTGTGGATTTGATGCTACGGAGCTGAAACTATTTTAATATGCCCAATTTATGGAAATGCTGAATTTAATATTCTCAGAACAAACCGCACCTGCTTTTCAGACAGAATTCCTTCCCTCCTCTGCCTGATCCCTTGAGTTTGGATAATCTCCCTCTATTTTGCATGGCTTTCTTACAACGCACCCAAGACGTCAGTTTTCTTTGTGCTTAAAACCAGAAGCTGTTTCATACAGTCTGACTGATTTCATCCAGAGTCAGACTGTTTTCCAGTGAGAAGGTGGCAGGGTGATGCTGAGCTGCTGTGGGGATGCAGGGATGCAGAAGGCATTCCCATTTCCAGCTGGGGCATCTCGTGAGGACACTGGGATGAATTTTCACCAGTTTGGCTGAACCCAGGTTTTTTTAAAACCTGGAGGTGAGGCACCACTTCATCCTGAGCAGTCCCAGAGAGACTGGGATCAAAGCTCCACTCTGGGAGCTCTGCTGGTTTTTAGCATCCAGCCAAAATCCCTTTCCAGCTGGTCAAAACCCACAAAAGAGCAGTGTGGGCAGAAATTATTATTCCAACCATCATGTACTGTAGGATTCCTGGTCTCAGTGTCACTCTCAGCACAGGGAAAACTGGTCTTACTATGGAGATGTGAAGTAACTAAATAGGATGAGTTTTGTTCCTCTGATCCTTAAGAGAGAGTAAGTGATGCTGGTACATTCAGATCCAGCCTATCCACACACCATCACACCAGTGTAATCCTTACAGCAGCACTCCAAGATTTCCTGAATGGTTGGAATAAACTCCTCTATTTTGAGCAGAAATGGACTGTGCACAGCACAGGGAAGGGAAAGGGCCGTGTTTCATCAACTGGTGTGGTGTCTCGAGGAGGTGACATAGTTGGCAGCAAGGAGAGGATGTTGCAAGATTTCACAACTGCAAAGGAAACACCAAGCTGAACTTTTTTTGGTCAGATCCTCATCTGGTGTAAATCAGTCAAGATTTACCAAAGCCAAATCGTTTCTGGATGCTGTTTCCCAGTTTTCCAGAGTCAAAAGCTGATGTTTATAGAAGCTCATAGTTTGCACATATTAAAGTAATCAGGAGGATTTTCATTACTGACTGTGCAAGTGAAATGAAGACAGACATAATGGAAATGTGTTCAAAAAAATCTTATTGACAAAGAATTTAAATAAAAATGTTTTGGGTTTCTTTTCTCCTGTGTATGGCTGTTGTGCACAGTAACCAGGTCTAGCAGATGCCAGTAAAACAATGGAAGGATTGTAGTGAGGAGGAAAGGAAATGTGTTTCCCAATCCCTACTGGAAATTATGTCTCTGCTTAATTCCTCCAAGCAGCTTAGATTTAAATAATTCTTTTCTTTCTTCTTTCCCCCCCCCCCATTGGCCATTTCCAAGAACTGCACATCCCCTGAGTGAGCGTCTCTCCTTTGGGATTAGCCACAGAAAAACACTTCTCTTCCTCACCTCTAGAGCAAATTTATTTGGATTTCCCCAGATCAGTCAGTTCCTGCTCTGCTCTGTTGTCATTACACAGTCTGGCTTATCCCTTGTTGCTTTGTTTGAGAGAACGAATATATTTATTTCGTATCCAATCTATGAATATTCCTATTTCATATTCACGCAGATTTTCACGCTGTCATAAGTTTCCAGAGCTCCTCCTTCACACCTGCATTCACAACCGCCCTGCTTTCCTCTCAGCACACCAAGCAGAGGGCACTGAGAGCCCAAAAACCCGTTCCTCCCCTTTGCCTTCTGTCTTTGCTCTCCAGACCTTGTCTGCCAGCGAAGGACTCATTTCCCTGAGCTGGCTGGTGCAGATCTCCCTCTGTCCTGTAGTAAGGAAAGTACCCTCCGTGGGGAAGGGGCTGGCTCAGGGGTAGGAGCCTGCTGGGGGTGCAGGGCAGGCAGAGCTCAGAGCTGCTGGCTCCCAGGAGCAGGGGGGATGCTTTCTTTTCATGGGTTGTCCTCTTGCTCAGCTCCAGCCTCGGTGGGACACTCTGAAAAAAAAAATAGGTAGAGGACCAAGAGCTCAGGGCTCACAACGGTGGGGACTGCACTGTGTCCCCTGGGGACACAGCAGGGGGACAGGTCCCATCACAGCAGCAGCGTCCCACACAGCACGAGGCTGGGGGTCCACAGGTTGCTTCAAGGGACAGGGACTGCCTTAGGTGTCTCCTCCTTGCAGATGGCTCTGCTCCTGCATCGTGTTTTCAGAGCACAAGATACCCCTTTGTTCCCCAGGCCCTGAGTTTGAGGAACAGCGTGGTGTGAGATGTGCCTGCCTCTCCTCCTCCCTTCCTACCCCCTTGAGAAACATTAAAGGGGAGCTCACCTCCCCCAGTTTGCAGGTATTTAACCCGATTTAACCACACAGGTAATCCACATGTGGGTGGTTGGCCCAGAAGCTCCTCATATGTTCTGCAGCACAGAAAACATCCCGTGGAGGCGGCTGAATAACTCACTTTCTCATCCTGCTTGGTGTCAGCCTTGCCTTCCCTGGTGCTTCCTTCTGCCCCTGTGAGGGTGTGTGAGGATGCAGGGCGGGAAGGTGGGCTGAGACAGACGTGAGGTGTTCTGTAGTAGGGCAGGTATGCGAGATCCAGCACCAGGGAATCTGGGAGTGGCTGCTCATTGCAGAGCAGGGGGTTGGCACCGAAGCTTTCAGGGCTGTCTGTGCTCAGCAGGACGTGCTCTGAGGCTCCTGGGCTGGGTGACGGGGACGTGGTTTTATCCTCTGTCCCCGCATCTCCTGGAAGGTCCTGAAACGAGTTTGTGTTTAATCAAGCACGATAAAATGGTGCTATCAACGGGTGAGAGCCACAAGAAAAATCAACCACCAGTGTTAATCTGTCCTGCTCTACACCCAGGGCCTGGCACCTCAGCCACTGCTGAGGGAGAACAAGGCCACTTAGAAGAATCACAGGGATTTCACATTTCATCCCTTTCTTCTTCAGTCTTAAAAATGTTTCCTCATGCAGGGGTTTTAATTAAATGTAAATACCAAATCAGTTCCTGTTCCTTCAAGTAGCTCACGCCAGGAAAATTGGGGAATTTGAAGTTTTTTCTCTGTGTTAATGAAAAGCAGCAAGAATAAAGCTTGAGAAACAAAGTCTCCATGCCCTGCTACCTGATTTTCCCCAGACTACCAGTTTGGCACCGCATGAAACCACGGGCCACAGAGACAGTGTTCGTACCTCATTTGAGGTTAAACTTACATCAGCTTTCATGAGCTGCCTTGGCAGATTCCAGGCCAAAGACAAGGAACTCCCACAGGCTTGGGCTATTTAGGGTGATTTATGGTCTCCTGAAAAATCTTGGTGGATCAGCAGTGCTTGTGAACATTCTGGAAATGGAAGAGCATTAAAATTTGGGTAAAGCCTGAAAAAAAAAAAATTATCTGTAGAATCCTCCTCTCCTCCAGATATATTCTTTTTTGATTTTTCATACAACCAAAACAGGAAGATGCAGTTCAGGTCTTTGAAAGAGTTTGAACTTGGTGTTCCAAATCAGCTCCAGTTTTATGTCTGTCTTTATTTGAAAGGCTAATTTATCAGATCATCACTGCTGTAAGACACTATTTCACTGGGGAAGAAAAGGTCATCTTGCTGTTGGAGATAAACACACACAAATATTTTTGTACTAGAAAATTCATCTGCTCTTGGCTGTTTGCCACTCTGGTGCTGTTAATTCCCCATCCACATTTATTTTTTTCTGCTTTTTTTTTTTTTTCCTTATCTAAAACCCTGTCTCTAAGGGGTTTTTTTTTGCATTTAAAGGATATCATTCAAATGGGCCTGAATCTCCCCACTGGGTGAGATAACAGCCTCCCACCCGTACACCAGGGTGAGAAAAAAGACATTTTTATAGTTACCAAACACTCAAGAAGAATCCAAGGAGGGAAAGCCAGCGGGGAGAGTATAATCCCATGTCTCTGGCTGCCATGGGGATGGGGTTCTGGGGTAGCATCACAAAGGGGGAACACCCCACCCACCCCCCAGCTCCCTGTTAGATGGACTCCCAACCAAGCAACCAGCAGCCAAAGGGGCACATTCCAAAGGAGGGATTTTAACAGAAACAGCATCAGATTTATGGTTTTTTTCTCATTTTCATACTAATCCCTGCAAATACAGTGATAAGGAACACTCCATTTTACTGTGACATAATCATAGAATCACAGAATGGTTTGGGTTGGAAGGGACCTTAAATATCACCCAGTTCCACCCCTGCCATGGGCAGGGACACCTTCCTCTATCTCAGGTTGCTCCAAGCCCCGTCCAACCTGGCCTTGGACACTTCCAGGGATCCAGGGGCAGCCACAGCTTCTCTGGGCAACCTGTGCCAGGGTCTCCCCACCCTCTGAGCAAACAACTTCTTCCTAACATCTGATCTAAATGTCTCCTTTTTTTGTTCAACACCATTCCCCCTTGTCCTATCACTATCAACCTGTGCAAGAAGTTGCTGTCCCACTATCTGCCCGTGTAATAGTGCATTTCTGGTTTATAAAAATAGAAGAAAGCATGAGAATGCCTCAGTTGTGCCTTTTAAGGTATTTTTAAGGGATGCATTGTTGTGCTTTTTAAGTTGCTTTCTAAATAATGTCTTTCCACATTCTAAAAAAAAAAGAATGTATCCTGTAAATATATAGAAACAGACTCAGTGATATTTCACACTGAAATAGTCATCATGTTTTCCTCTATTTAGACTTAATTTTTTTGCTAAATCAAAGGAGAATTTTTCTTATTACTGCCTCAACATGTATGTGTTTCAGAGTTTAACTGGCAAGTGCAATAGATTGGAGCAGCTCCTCTGACAATACATTAAAAATGCTCATAAATATCATATCAGAATAAGATTCATTCCTGCATAGTATTTGATCTATTTACTGAAATTCCAGAGCTCTAAAGCACAGGAACAATTTTGAATGGACTATATTATTATTATTCATCCCATTTATTCTCCTGGTTGCTGCCTGCAGTAAGAAGTGGTTTATTGTAATGTGATTTCTCAGCTGCATCAGTGTGATATACCAGCAGCTAATGAAGTGTTCAGGCACCCCAAACCCCGGCATCATTGAAATTCATTGCCACAGAGAGTCTGCCAGCACTAATTGCTGTCAAGGCTGCTCATGCACAGGTCTCAGTTTCATTCCACAGAATGGCAGGGTGGGAGGGATTTAAGGAAAAAATGGTGGTGGTGGGGTGTCTACTGCCTCCAGCACACCCTGAATCACCAGGCTGTGGGCAGGGAATGGCTTTTTGGGACAGAGGAGGACCCAAAGGCTCCAAAACTTGGGATCTGAAGATGAGAAGGCAGGGTTGAGCACCAGCCCATGGCTGTTGTGGTGTCCCAGGCCCTCCTGCTGCCCCTGCAGCCTCTCCCATCCAAGGCACAGATCCTCCCTGTGTCCCCAAATTTACACCCACACCCTGACGTCCAAACACTCCTCCTGAGATGCAAAGGTCCTTTTGCAAACCGAGCGTGTCTTTTAAGATTCTTTTATGCCAAGAAGTAACAGAGTCATAGGATTGTTAAGGCTGGAAAAGACCTCGGAGATCATCAAGTCCAATTTACGACTGAACGCCCCCAGGCCCACTGAACCACACTGCAAAGGGACTTGTCTGCTTGGTTTTGGAGCACATCCAGGGATGGTGACTCCACCAAACTTCCCTGGGCAGCCTGTTCCAGTGTTTAACCACTCTTTCAGTGAAGAATTTTTTCCAGCTATCCAACCTGAACCTCCCCTGGTGCAGGCCATTTCCCCAGGAGAAGAGTCCGACCCTCAGCTTGCCACAACCTCCTCTCAGGTAGATGTAGAGAGCAGTAAGTGCAATTTTCAGGAAAGGAAGAGAGAGGAAGTTTTGAGCTGAGCAGAAGTTTGTGAACCCTGGGATTGCCTGAGCAGATTTGTTGAACTCCACTGACGTGCTATTTGCACGTTCCTGTTTCAAAAGTCAGCCTACGCGGATCGCTCCCGGCACGCCTTGCCAAAATCCTTGGGAGGGATCCAAGGGAATGATCTTGACTGTTGCAGGTGGGTTGTGGACCCTTGAGAGGCGCTGGAGGTGTCAGGGAGCTCACTGATTATGGCCCATCGCAGCCTGTAGGGGAAGGATGCTCTCAGCACAGTCAGGGAGCGTTCGCAGGACACCTCCCGACACGGTCGAGGTGAACAGGGATGGGGAGTCCCCCCCCACTCAGCCTTCTGGAGTTACATTTTGGTGCTGGGATCAGTGGGAGCAGAGCTGCCCTTTAGGGGAACCTTTCAGCATTTTCCACAGCCATTTCCCTGCGACTTCAGACCTCTGAGACTCGGCCAGCCCGTTCCAACAAGGTTTATTATCTCAGTGAAAAGCCTGGATGTGCCGGGACGCTGCGCTTGCTGCACACACATTTTCAAGCATTAGTCATGCCACAACATCTGCTTCTTATTGGTAATTACACTATCCCCATTTTAATAAGAGGTAATTCTTAAATTTCTCATAAAACATATATGACTCCAGGGAAAGAAGGTGAAAGGTTTCACAAGCCTCTCACAGCCTCAAGACCAAAATGAGTGGAAATAAATCCTTCCCCGAGCAGAATTTGTCCAGCCACTCACGACAGCACGTCTGGGGACGCCTGTGGGACTCGCTGTCCCCCTTTCTCCTAATTGTTCATGCTCTGCAGAACAGACCTGCAAAGTCTGTGCACCACAGCCCTTCTGGGTGCTGTTAATGAGGTGCTCCAAAATGGGGACCTGCTCCTAAATGTGGATCCCCCCTCCGGGGTGCAGCTCGGCTGGAATTACAGTTCAGGGGGTTCTGTGGGATCAGGCCTGAACTGGGGAACAGTAAAAAGCTTGTGGGTTGTTTCCAAGTGTTTCAGACCCTTTAGAATTGCAAAGAGGTGTCCAGGTTAATGGACCGTGGCTTGTTTGCATTCGTATTGACGGTGGACTTGGTGTAATAACGGGCCAGAAAAATGAGTAACATCTGAAGTGGAAGACCAATATCCAGATAAAGAACCATGAAAAGAAAATCTTTTGGGGCTCCATTAAAGGCTTCCAGTTTCTTATTTCCCACTGTTTCTCAGTTAGTAAGTGCTGCTGTGCTGCTTTGGCCTGTGAGAACGGGGCTCTGCAATTCCACAGCTTCTTTCCAGGGGTTTTTCTAGTGATTCTGGACAAGGCAGTGACAAATGACACTTTCACAAGGTCATCCCTGAATCTTTGACAGCCAGGGAGCTCTTTCAGAGGCTCCTGCCATTCATGGAATGCCAGCAGCCAAGCCCATATGGAGCATTGTGTGCTCAGCTCGTTGTCGATGCAAATGCGCACGGCTAGCTTTGATTAAGAGCAAAATGCAGAATTGACTCAAACTGCTTTTTTTTGTTGTTGTCGTTATTTGCTTGGAATGCTTCAAGCCTCTCATTATCATCAGGGCTTCTTTCAGTGCAGGAAATGGGAATTTCCATAAAATAATGCTGAAAGCCACAGGGCGAAGTCAAAGAACATTTACGTTCCCAACAAAACGGAGGGATAAACATGCAGAGCAAATTTGGGGACGCTCAGCTAAACATTCAGGGGCATGTTATGGCGTGTGGATTGTTTAAATTATTCAACATGTATTAAGCAGCCACACATTTAAATGGTAAAAGGACAAAGCAGTGGGTTTTGGAGAGGTTTTTTTTCCCTTTGCACAGTAACTCCGAGCTATCCAGAGTGTGGTTATTGCATCCAGCAGAGGGTTTGTAGGGTAGCATGCCCAGGTTGCATCCTTTCCATTTGGGGGGTGAATTAGATGACCTTTAAAAGTCCCTTCCAACCCAAACTACTCTATGATTTATGGGAGCAAGGAGCTCGTTCTGATGCAGAAGGAGGTCCCAGGGCAGCCCTGAGGTCACCGAGGTGGGATCAGAAAGACTCTCTGTGAGCTCAGGGCTGTGTTTGGAAAGGCTGGTGCTTGGAGGGAGGTGTCAGCTGTGAGCACAGCCAGCATGCAGGTGGCCCCGAGCTGTTTCCCATCCTCAGGATGTCCTGGCTGGTTGGAAAAATCCTTGTGCCAAGAGAAACTGGAAAAGTGGCAACCACATCCTTCTCTCTCTCAACATCCAAATGGATCTGGCCAGAGAGTCCCTTTGTGTTTTTTATGGGGTTTGATCATAGCCAGGGCTGGCAGTGCTCCTTGCAGATCAGGGTGGTTGGAATTTCCAGCACTCCATGGATGATCCTGCAGGGAGGATTTTCTGGCAGAAGGGGAATGAAGGGAAGGACATTTTTATCAAGGATGACATTAAAGAGCTATATTGCAAAGACAAGCCCTCCAAAACGAGAAAATGGGGGAATTGAAGCTGCTCTGTCCCTATTTCTCTGCGTGCCTCGTCATGCAGATTTCAATAACAAAACCAGCTCCTGCCTCCCCAGGGGGGTGAGGAGTTCAGGTCCATCCCATGTGGCTGGAGAGAAGGAGAGTTGTGTTCAAGGCACTGTTTTGCAGAGGATAATCTACCTGTGAGGGGCTGGCAGGTGGGTGACCATTGCTTTGCTCTGTTCCCAGAAGGGGGAAAGAAGTTGTCTTTGAGACCCTTATAAATGTGGCTGTCATTTGCAGAAATATCTTATAAAAAGCCTTAAAATCTATTAAAAGCCTAAAAGTAATTAATACGAGGGAGATCATCTGTCCAACTGTCCTTTGGCAGAGTTGGTGATTACTGTGTGCTGTCTTGACAGCAAATGTTCCCAGTGCCACATATTTCCTGGCATCACCTGGAACAACCCAGTGGAACTATCATCCTAAAAAACACACAGACCACCCTTTGCCTTTGGTTTGATGATTCAGACAGCAACCTCTCATGTTGTGGACTCAGTGGAGGCCAGAGAGAGTGAGTTAATCCTAGGGACAGGAGAATATTCCCAGGAATGCTCCCCACCATTTGGGAGCTGGTGTTGGGAAAGCCAAAAGGCAGATTTCAGGGTGAGTTGGGAAAAAACTTGGATTGAAAAAAATGCTGAAAAATAAAAT